CCTTTCTTCTAAGTGCATCCTCATTAGGAAACAAATCTCAATGTACTCTTATTTGATCTGTGTAAATTAATTAAAATGTTACAGATATAAAAGGTGGATAGCAATAAAGTGGATCTGACATCTATTAAAAATTATCATTTGATATCTGCATGCACAGTTTATATCTGAAAATAATTTCATTTCAGCCACAAACTTCATAATATATTACATACACAGTGTAAAATATGGTAAACTGTCTAACAGAAGCATAAAAAAAAATCAAATACAATCTAACTAATCTAGGCATCTTTTACTAATCTTTTACACTATTGAAACACCATGCTGAAACATAATTTTAGGTGGTTGGGTTTTCAAAATCATGGGGCACCAATGAGAAGGCACACAGTGTCTTCACATCAGATCCTCAGGTCCTACAGAATATAGCCAGTCATATATTTTTGGCAACAAGAGGCATCATTTGATGGGAAAAGGTGTCCTGTACGAACTTGGTGTCAAACCTTGCAGAATTAAAGTTGTAAGCAATACCTTGAATTGAAGCAAGAAGTACACTTGAAGCTACTGTAAATTCCGTACCCCTAAAGTCCAATGCATTTTAAAAAAAACTGTGTTTAACCTGATACTTTATTAGTTGATATGTTGCCACATTTTGAATAAGAAAATCATCTTCAAGCCCTGTATACACTGTGTTACAATACCCTATGCAATAGTTAACAAAGGCATGGGTAATTGTTACCTAGCAGGTTTGATGAAAATGGCTTTCAATTAACATATGAACCTAGGAAGACCTTGGACCTCATCCAAAAGAAATCTGGAACCATGATGAAGCCAGATCAACCACTTTGTCTTGGTGGGATTAAACCAGATCTTTTTTGCTTAATCATCCAGGCTCCATAGTCACCAGGCACCAGACCATGATTCCCATTGCACCCTTGCGCTGACATGGTATACCAACATAGATGGGTATTCTGATCACATTGATGATATCTCATAGAAAATCACTGCCTTCTTTCAATGGCTTGAAAAAGATCCTAACAACATGGTGAAAGGATTAACCATTGGAGACTCATACTGGAGTAAAAAACATGCAACTGCTCTTTTTCTCAAACAAACTGACTGGAACTGCCTGCCTACAAGACAACAGAACGACTATAATTCATTGCCTCAAACTATCTTGGCTGTCAGTCCGAAGGAGACATAATTTAACCAGAAATTACCTCCATTTAGATCTAAAGGTATCAACTGGGTATCACTTTACCTGACTCTAGCACCACAACATTAAATTAGGTAGGGCATGGACCAAAAGTATAGCTCAGTGGTGGGTTGCTACTGGTTCACACCGGATTGGGCGAACTGGTAGCAGCAGCAGCAGGTTCCGCCCACCCGCCCGGATGCTTCTGCGCATGCGCAGAAGCACCAGATGCATATGCAAGTGTGCAAGCGTGCATGAGCAAACAGGCAGCAACGGGATTTGGAACCCACCCCGGTATAGCTAGTTTAATTCTATTTACATCCTTGGTCTCCAGAAGTTTAAAACAAAAAAGATGCTGATCTTCTTTCAAGTGTCTAACCAATTGGGGTCAAGCAAAAGGTTTTATCTGTAAAATAACTCACAAATATATCACAGTAGCTTATAGAAGGAATCTTCATTCCCAGTAGGGGGTGAGTATCTGAAATGAGCCCCTAGATATGAATTGACAAGTGTAGTAAGATTAGAGGAGTAAGAATACTTTATCATCTTTATCATCACAGTATAGTTTTAAAAATGGAGTTCACACTTCAATTTTCTTCACACTAGTTTCTCTTTACTCATTTCATGTCCCACAGAAACTCAGAAAACGAGGTTTTTTTGAAATTATGGTGTTATAACATTATGCAGAACATCCAACCTAGGAAAAAGATGCTGTTTGGTCTGAAATGTGTAAGTCAGATGGAATGTCTGCAATCCGTAGTCAGGTATTCAAACATCACTTACAGTGAATAGGAGCATCTTAGTCTGAAGCTTAAAACAACAGAAGCAAACACTACAGATTTAACGGAAAAAGCTAGACTAATGTTTAGGATTTATATACTAAAACCTTTTAGGCTTCACACATGGAAAACTACAATACATTTTCCACAACATTTTTTTAATCAAGATTTTTTTTTATGCAAATGACTGCACTTGGACCCAGTTGATTAGCCCTTAATGGAATGTAACTTTCTCATGAAAAAATTCTGACTCTAAACAAATCCAAGGTTAAATCCTTGCATTATCTTGCAACAATGCCATCATTGTGAAGTAGTTGATTAATTTACAGGTTTGGAACAGATTGTTGGAAATGATGTTGCCTCTCTCCCTGATCATATCTTAGAGTGAGATACATTTAAAAGGTTCCTCCTTTTCCTCTGAAGAAGATTCCTCAAAGGGCTTTGATAAGAACGCACTTAATAATGACATCATTAGATGTGTCCTGATGACATCTTATTACTTTGCAGAAAAGAGGTGTAGTGAATGCTCTACTGGTTATTATGAAATCAGTCTAGGGGTAACATCACTTTTCTATTTTTATAACATTTTCCTCAGTATTTGCACCATTATTTGCTGGTTTCACTAACTGTATGGTTCATCATAGCACTGCTGTATCTGTGACCTGAAGTAATTTAGCTACAGTATGTAACATAACCATACTGGTTGTATGATATACACACAATACATCTTGAATATGAAGGATCAAGACCATAAGAGAACTGCACAGCAACAATGCATTATATGTATTTCTTGTACTTTAAAAAACCCACAAAATTTTAAATCTTCATACTTACAATGAGCACATTTAAGCTGTTCACTGTTCGCTTAAATATATGTGACAGGAAAAAAAGGCTAGTTTGATATTCTGTAGTGAAGTTAAAAACCTGGCAAATGTATATTATGCAGTTTTGCTCATTTATTCAAAATTCCATATTTCCATTTGGTGAAAACATCATGTTTCCTAATGTTAAGCATTATATACTTTTGCTAAATAATATGCTATTCCAAAAATACAGAATAATTTATCACATAATTAAGACTGACATGCCTCCAAAAGAATTCCATCTTTGGAATAATTTCCAATCAGCTTTAATACCCTGGCATTTTTATATTCAAAGGTATCTTAATTTTAAATTCCATACGCAAAGGGATACCATATTATAAGCTTCCTAGAATATATTTGGTTATAGTTGGTTAGCCAGTTGAATTCTATGCAACTGAGACAAGTGACTTATCCCCAATTAAGTAGTCCATCAGACTTCAATAAATTATAAATTACTTTAGGGTGACAGCATAATGGGTACTGAAATGGGTACAGAATCTTAGTAAATTAATTTATCTCACAATGATTACCATTCTTAAATCAAATTTGCTGCCATGCAATTATATACTCAGAATAGCAGTGCTCTTATATTTGCAGATTCTGGCTGTGTTTAAATTACATTAGTATAAGCAACAGATAACCCAAAGGTGCTTTTTTCAAGAGACAATTGGACTTTGTTTTTCCTTGAAGACATTTTGCTTCTCATCCAAGAAGCTTCTTCAGTTTTTTATTTGCCCTAAGGCCCATTTAAACTAAGTATCTAAACCTAATCCCATAGATTTAGGTTTATACATCTATAAATTATATTTACAGTAATCATCTACTTACAACAGATAGTTTAATGATTGTTCAAAGTTACAACTGCAGTGAAAAAGTAACTTATGACCATTTTTCATACTTACAACATAGCAACTGCTCTGTGGTCTCATGATCAAAATTCAAAAGGTTGGCAACTAAGGTTGAAAATTTATGGCAATTGCAGTGTTTCAGGCTCACGTGATCATCTTTAGTAACCTTCTGACAACCAAAGTCCACGGGGAAGCCAGATTCACTTAACAACCATGTTACTAATTTAACAACTGCAGTGATTCACTTAACAACTATGGGAAGAAAGGTCATAAAATGGGGCAAAACTCACTTAATAAATGTCTCAGTTAGCAACAGTTAAATTTGAGCTAAATTGTGGTCGTAAATCGAAGATTATCTGTACTTTATCCATGGATTTTAACATGACTTTAGTGTAACAGTATAAAGTGTCATTTACAAAGATTTATACTTTGTTGCAGGCCAAGCAACTATAGCCATAAATTTGTTGTGTTTTTACTGTAAATCTTGATTTAAAGATTTAAGATTAAATTCTACTGTCTTCTCTGTTTGTGTATTCTGACATGAAAAACCTTTGTAGGACCGATCACAATATACGTCGCACTGAATAATTGTTTTGTAAACAATGAAACTTATTGTTCTATATTACAACATAAAGTACATAATGTGGATATGTTGCTTGCTGCAAAGGATGTCATAATTCTAGATTAATTCTGTTTGAAATCAGAGTCCTCAGTGTTAATGTCAATTCCAAACAAAATAATCTTATAAAATTTTAGAAAGTTAAGACATTTTGGGAAGCTGGTTCCATAAACAACAAAGGATATATACATATTTTGTTTTAACAATGGCTGGTAAATTTAAGCAATGAAAGCACAGTAGGATTTATTTTCACAGAGGCAGACATTCTTTCTGTGGGTGTGCATTATACATTTGTTACTGTTTTCTTTGTTTCCCTATCTAACAATCAATGAGCAAGATTCTGTCATGCAAGTAAATATGCCCCATCATAAAAATAGACAAGAGTATTTTATGGAATTTCTTACTTTTGTTTCCTTTTGGGAAAGAATTGCTTTACTTGCAACCACCCCCCCCCCCCACATGCTGTAATTCTCAGTGTTTGCTGAATTTTGATAGCATAGTCAGAAAAGCATTTAGGGGCTGTGAAAAAGCATTTGAGAAGCTACCATGATAATTATGTATCAGAAGAACATTATTTTTTATATGTTGTAATTTGTTTGCTGGTGAACCACTATTTTGTCAATATTTATCTATTACTAGTAAAATTGTATGATGTAGATTTAAACACAACATGATATGTTAAAATATACAAGGACATCTTACCAATACTACTGGACAGATTGAGATGGGAGGTAGAATGTGGTCCTTCAGAATACCACAATCACATTCAGGCTTTAAATGTGAAGCACACTTATTATGGAGCTGTAACAAAAAAGAGATAAAAATATCACTATGGATTAAAACATCAATGAATTTAAATATGCCCAAAACAACATACTATGTTTCAAAATACAAAAAGACTCAAACCCAACAATCACAGAAATCTCTGTTTTATTTTTCTAATCATAGCATAACTGATAAAGGAAAAAGACTAAAAAGTTAGTGTCTTTAAAGGCTCTTGTTAACAATGATGACATAAAACTAAAAGAACTACATTCTATTTTATGTTTTCCTATATTTTCTATATCATTTTTTCTGGGTATGTATCTCTGCATAATCTGCCTTTTGTATAGAAGTTGTAGGCAATTTACATGGAGTAAGTTCATTTAACACCAGAACGAATCTATGAAAGACATTGTGATGATAGAAAACAAAGTGACTACTGAGTTTTTATGACTAAGAGATGATTACAACAAAGGACTTTTTGTGTATTGTAACAAACTGAAAAAGAAAGCTGCTACTCAGAACAGAATCCACATGCCTTTTTTAAGAGCAATAGCACTTAGACTCATATACTAATGCACCATAGTGCTTTTCAGTACTCTCTGAGTGATTTATTTTGCTCCCAACATTCTGGGTCCTCATTTTACCAACCTCAGAAGGATGGAAGGCTGAGTACAAAAAAAAAAAATCCCTTACATTCTAGTAATTGTTTTTTGAGATAAGGATTTTTAGCTTTTTCTCAATTACTGTTACTTCTGTAACTGTTGTTGCTGGTACTGCTGATAGTAACATGTTAGAATTTAATATTTTGTTTTACATGTATGCTATCATCCTTGTGAATAAATAACTCACAGACGGGATGAGATTGCTGCCAGTCCACATTTTTCATCAGCCAACTGGGTAAAATATTGTGTACACAAACATCATTACACATACACAGATATACAGAGAAAGGAGGGAGGAAACAGCATTTACAGATCTTCTGGATATGCAAATATATTCAATAATATTACCTAGTTTAAATCTATAGGGAGAAAAAAATCAGAATGTATTGTGTTGTTGATTAAAAGACAAGTAAAGAAATGCTATTAGCACAATCTTAAAAATGTTTTAACAAAAAATTAGTCCCATAATTAAACTCTTTGAATTTTTTAAAATTTAGTTTAATGTTTTAATTGCAATCTTACAATATAATCCTAAACATGCCTATTCAGAAGTAAAGCCTGCATAGGTCAAATGAAATTATGAATAAAATAGTGCAAATGGTACTAAAGACTAAAAATAGAACTCTTACCTGAAAAAAGTCAAATACTATTCACTTTAATTGAGTAAACAGACAAATACATTATAAAATTGAAAACAATACTTTTTTACAACTTTGGATCATGTATAATTTGCTCAGGTTTCCTCCTAGTGTATGGAACTTCATTGATTTGATTAGTATTTATAGTGTGGATATTTTATTATTTTTAAAGTTCTATATTGTGTTCATTTTGTTTCAGGGATGTAAAATATTTATAATAAACAAAATAAATAACACAAAAGTGAATTATAATAGCACTAAATGTTTATTACGTTAATATCCAAATAAAATGATTTGGAAATAAATAATTGTTGACTAACATGAGGTAGATAATTTAGCCTCTGTGTTCATTTGCCATTAATTAGCATAGTTTTATATCAATATTTTTTGCTATCAGATATGCCGGTTTTAATTACTGGGAAATATCCTAACAAATTAGGCATACAAATTGGATGTTTCTCATTTATACAACATAGTTAATAGGTAGCACATAAGTATTTGCTTTAACAGGTGATCTTCCTCAGTACAGTAAAATATGTTGTCTAGCAGCTGTTCCATAAATCACTATTCTCTGGTTTGAATGAATGATTTAATTTTCTTTGGATAATTTATCCATGTTTATGATACGAGATTGATATATCAAACTTATGATATATTAGTTTAAATATGAAATATGCACCTTTTGCCAATTACATATTCTTTAGAGAGAGAGATCTAGCAAAATATAATTTGACTGCTATATTTTTGAATTTGAAAATGATTGGCAACTAATAACACCCCTCTATACATTAATCATTACTGCAAAAATACCTTTTTCTGGTAGTTTCCTAGCAACCAAAAAGAGGTATAGCAATTTTTCCCCCTCAAGTACTGAAGTTTTATTGTGGTTGCCCTATAATCTAAAACATTGTTATGTTAATTCCCATTTTTAGTAGTGAAACCACATTTGCCATAATTAATATACATTAATCCATGTACCATCCAATCAAAGCATTGTTACATATGAGGTGATAATTAACAGTTCTCCTACTTAGTCGTATGCTATCAACAGCTTAATCTTCTTATTATGTAGAACTAATCTTTGAGAAAACAAGTAAGATGTAAAAGTTGTTGTTTAATATTAGATTACAGAATGCATAACAATATCATATAATAACATTACAGAAACTCATGGGTTATTTCACAAAGAATATGTAACTGCAATTATTGCTCCTATCACAAGTACTCAGAATATATTCTTTACTTTTTCAGCAAATCCTTTGAATGTTTTCATCTTAATTTATATAAAACATATATTTTAATGATTTTTATTTATTTTTCTTAATCCAAGACACTGACAAGCACAAAATCCACTAGGTGTCAAGACTGAATTTGATTGGGGTGTGGGATTGTTTGTATCCTTGAGTACTCTGACATGAATTCAGGTAGACACAGTTTGGAGCTGAAGGGGGATAGAGCCTTCAGCCAAAACAACATAGCTAGCTGATGTATCAAGTACATTCCAACGGCTGGCTGACCAGAAGAGGAGGAGATAAATCGCCAAGCAACCAGCTCTCAACTTGGTTGGACAATGTGAGTTTGTTTCAGTGGTGAAATCTAAAATTTGTTACTACCGGTTCTGTGGGCGTGGCTTGGTGGGGAGGTAATGTGACTGGGTGGGCGTAGCCAATTTTTTTTTTTTTTTACTTTTAAAACCATGTTTTCTACAACTTCTTCAGCGAAGAGGTTGTAAAAAAATGCTTTCAAAAGGCTCTGACGATCCCAACAGAGTTGCCTGATCGGCAGAGGTTTTTTTTCTTTTAAATGCCTCTGACGATCAGGCAACTCAGCTGGGATCGTCAGAGGCATTTAAAAGAAAAAAGCCTCTGCCGATCAGACAACTCAGCTGGGATCATCAGAGGCTTTTAAAAGCGTTTTTTCTACAACCTCTGAAGAGGTTGTAGAAAAAATGCTTTTAAAAGCTTTTGAGGATCCCAGCTGAGCCGCGTGATCATCAGAGGCTTTTTTTTTTTACTTTTTAAAAAAAAGCATTTTAAAAGCATTTTTTCGGCCAAAGAGGTTGTATAAAAAATGCTTTTAAAAGTAAAAAAAAAAAAGCCTCTGAAGATTGTGCGACTCAGCTGGGCATTGGGAGGGGGGCAGGGATTTTTGCTACTGGTTCGCCGAACCACCCGCCTCAGGTGATCCGGTCCGAACTAGGAGCATTTCACCCCTGGTTTGTTTTGAAAATTTGAGAAACTAATATTTATATTAGAGTGGAAAGCGTGGGAACTTCAGTACTGGATTTCCACCAGTTAGTGCCAAGATGGTGTATCTAAATAAATTTGTTCTTTGAGGAAACAGAATGCCTCGGAGTTTAATTTGTGATGGGTACATCACTTGGAACCTGACACCAGGATCTCATACACTTTTTATTTCTACAAAAAACTATAAGTGTTGCTTGGGCTTCAGAATTATTCTTATTTTTTAAAAAAATGAAGAATGGAAATCCAATGATGTATTTTGAAATATTTTAGTAGATGGCAGAAGTGGCAAAGTTAACTGCACTAGTAAGGGATGAGAATATAAATAGTTTTGTGGTTACTTGTTTCCGAGGAAAAAATGAAATGTTACTGTTATAGAAATGACCTGTAGTAATTATTTGGTGTAACTAAAAAGTTGATACTATAACTTTATTATGTATCTTATTGCACTAAAAAATTGGAAGTGGAATTGCTTTTCATTTCTATTTTTCATTTCTTGTTTATTTATCTTCTTTATCCACTTTCCTTTTCCTCTTTTTTCAGTCTTTATTTCTATTTCCATTTTATATTAAGAAAAAAATAGTAGAAATTATCTTGGATATTTCCAAGAAATTACCTTGGAATCCATGAGGCAGATAGGACATGTTGGTTTTAACTGTGTTGCATTTGTGCATGTGTAAAGGAGCATGTATACTGCACGAGTCAAAAAGAGGGCCTATGAATATATTTACAGACCCCTCGCATCCTGGATATAAATTGTTTCAACTCCTACCTTCAAAATGACGCTATAGAGCACTGTATACCAAGACAACTAGATACAAGAACAGGTTTTTCCCAAACGCCATCACTCTGCTAAACAAATAATTTCCTCAACATTGTCAAACTATTCACATTAGGCTGCATTACTATTGCTATCGGTCTTCTCATCATTCCTGTCGCCCATCTCCTCCCACTTGTGACTGCATGACTGTAACTTTGCTGCTTGTATCCTTGCGATTTATATTGATATTGATTGTTTCCTAGTATGATTTGATTGCTTATTGTACCGTATGAATGTCACTTGGTGTTGTGCCCTGTGATTCTTGATGAGTGTATCTTGTCTTTTTATGTACACTGAGAGCATATGCACCAAAGATAAATTCCTTGTGTGTCCAATCACACTTGGCCAATAAAGAACTCTATTATATTATATTCACCGTTTATTTTGATGTGGGAATGGCAAGTTTGAAAATGTTTGAAAATGTTATTTTAGGGTACAGGAGTGCTTTGTATTTTGTCTGACATTTGGTTATGATATTACTGTTTGATTTTTGTATTTTATTAGTACTTTATTTTTGTCTTCTAGATATATATTTATTATAACTATGATTGATTAAAGCAGTCTTAGAGGCCTTTTTGTGTGTGTAAATGAGAAACCTGTTCATCCTAAAGTCAATTTTTTAAAACTCCAAATGAATTAAGACTCATCTTAGTAACAAAGAGAGGTTGCTCCATTTTTTTAATGTCATCATCATAAGGAATTTGTATCATGCTACGATTGTACATGTGCAATTATTTTTAAATACTTTGGTCCTAACATTTATGCATATTTATTTGTTTATTTATGAGTCCTATTTGTTGCTACTATTAAAATATTACTTAAATTGTTTTAGTAGCAGTAGATAAATACCGTGCTATAAAAACTCAATTCTTTCTATCACTATTATTGATACTATTGCTAATACTTACTGTGATTTGGCACCACACACAATGTAACCCAGTCAATCCTTGGTAACATTTAACAATTTTATGACATTTATCACATTTTGTTGGACAATTTCCTTCCACCCAAAAGTGATGCATAACCTAGAAAAGGACAAAAAAAATTATATTTATGCCAATTTGCACCAAATAAACTACTGCCAGATAAAGAAATATTATGAAGTTCAATAGTTAATGCACTTACAGTAAATAAACAGCAGATTAATACCCAGGTATTAATACTATAGCAATAAACCTTATTAAATCATAAAGCAATACACCTTACTAAATAGTAAAGCTCTGACTTGTCTTCCACTGTTTTGGAGAAAACATTATCCAAATAAAATTATTAATCCTGAGTATCTGCTCATGTTTCTTCCCCAAAATGGGTCTCACAAATAACATTTCCAGAAAATTACCTTAAATATTTTTTTAAAAAAATTAGTGGATGCTATACTTTAGATATCCTGTAATATTTAGAGTAAGAATTTAAATAAGTAGGAACTTTAAATTGACATTGGAGACAACATTGCTTCCCCAATAGCAACAGAAAAGCATTCTTTCTTTTTTATTACAAGGTAGGAACTATAGCAGCCTATCTTCTTCAATCTATATTCTTCAGTAATGTTGATAATTCCTCAAAAAAAACATGCACACTGGCAATTCTGGAATTCCAATTCTAATGCCTCTAGAGGTCCATACTTTCAGATATTTAACAACTTGCTCAAAAAAAAAAAAAGTACAAAATCTAGACTTATGTTTCTATATGGATGGGATATAAAGAAATTTCAAACTAGCTACCAGGACTACTCATAGGAAGACATCCTGAACAAGAATGTCCAAGGGCACTTCTAGATAGCTGCATTAAGTATAACTGTACACTTCATTAGCTGGCATTAACATAAGTTACAAGTAATAGTAACAGAGTTGGAAGGGACCTTGGAGGTCATCTACTCTAACCCCCTGCTCATGCAGGAGATCTATACTAGAGATTCGAACCGCTGAATTGCTGACCTTTCTGATCAACAAGCTCAGTGTTTTAGCCATTGAGCCACCTAGCCAGGCTAATCATTGCTGATCTCTTAAATTGCGGCTGAAAAGCAGGGTTGCCTTCATTGACTTAACATGCAACAACTTAGTACATTTAACTTGTGGACTTATTTCCTCTTCCATCAAACATCACTTGCTGGTGAAGAAAAAAATCACCAATGCTCTCTTTAACAGGAGGCGGTGTACAGATTTGACAAACATAGGTAAGTATTTAGAATAACTGTTTTAGTAAAGTTGTCACACTATTTGGTATCAAGTACATAGTTGCTTGCATCTGGGCTAGTTCAGAATCAGGTTTAGAATAATGATGAAATTCATGTTAAAAAATAGCAGACTGAGAAGTCATGTGTATGGAAGAGAGAGAGCTCCACTGCAACCAGTTCTATAAGGGAACGGGAGAAATGGCAGCACCAAGAAGTAGTCTCGGGGTAGGCAAAAGGTTGTAGCACTTTGTCCTCCAAGAGTATAATAAAATAGTAAAAAGTAGAAGCCACACAAAGTCCCTTGTCAGCAGAAAAATGTAATGCAGTCATTGGTGAAAGAATCAGCAACACCAAGATGACAAATCTGGATCCCTTTCCTAGTCAATTAATCTTCATTGCAGCAGAAGATTAGCTTTCAGAGTTCGGGTCTTATTTTTAAAGCACGGGACTTGTGCTCTTTTAAAAGAATGCTAAATTGTTATATGTAAGGATTAAAATTACAAGATCTAGCCAGCACTTCAAAAAACATTGGTCAGACATTAGGCAGACAGATGCTCTGCAGAATCCTGGCACCCAGCATCTGCTGCAGCCAAAACTAAATAGGCATAGTGATCAATGTCCAGAGACTAGAAGAATGGAGTCATGAAGTTGAAAATGACCAATAGAAACCAAGTATACCACTGAATGCAGTCAGTCACATCATTGATTATGAAGCATGCTAGACAACATCTATAACAATTTTATGTCAGAAGAAGATGCAAAATACTGTTTTAACCCAAGGAAAGTAAAGGACTTTTTAAAGTGCCTCAACTGAGGGCTAGAGATGAGATGACACTTCATTATAAAAAAATGAATGCTGCTATATATGAGTGCCAGAGCTATGAGGTATGAGGATTAACCCCAAATCTCCAGAAATGTTAAGTAATGGAATCATCATGGAATCTTCAATGACATTATGTCTTAGATTACTGTAAAAGCTCATAGAGAATGTTATGCAGCTACTTACAAAGCTATCAAAGCTATATTTGGCACACATGACTGATATATGCATATACATATTATACATTGTCATACATATATAAGTACATAACAGTCACAAATGCCTTGTATATACAAAAACACACATATACAGAGGCCCACAAGAATTCCACAGACATCAGTGTCAGCTTACTTCAGTATTCTTTTTTGATTTCACATATGTTTTGATACAAGATGCTGGTGCTCTTGAGACACATCGCTCATGGACAGTGTACTTGCAAACTAAAAGAAAAATATAATCACTATGAAAAGTTTTGCTAAATAAATATGAATTTTCAATAGCCTATTCACTTCTCATTCAGCTACAATTTATCTACAAAGAATTATATCCAGTTAACTCTAAAATAAAAAAGATGGTCCAGTAAAGAAAATAAGATTAGCAGAGTTGGAAAAGAATCTAAGAGTACTCTTCAATAGCAACTTTTGATTAAATCAGCTCTCACTAAGCTATTCACAATAATTCCAAAATCAAATCAAATAAGTAGAAGAAATGTAATTGGCAAATGTAAAATGTTTTCCTGTCATTTGCCAAGATGAAGAAATCTATATTTTCTAAACTATAGGCATGAAAGCAGCTGGTACAACTGAATATGAAAGGCAATGAGTTTGTCTTTCTCTAAATGGCTAATTAGTCTTGTTTCCAGATAGTAGCTTGCTTATTTATTTATTTATTTATTTTTGATTTGTTGTCAATATCTTCATTTCAGCAAATTAATTCCAACTATTGCAAACTTTACTATTTTCTAAGAAACACAATATCATTTCCCTTTTCCATTCTGATAAGATTCAGATTTGATTTAACAAAACCTTATATTTTTGAATTGATGGAAGTTAAGATTAATGTATCTCTGTGACAAAGATTTAACACCATATTGTACAAAAAGTAATGTAATTACAGTAGTTGAGTTTATCTCAGAGGAATCATTGCCTAATTTATTGAAGAACAAACCTAAATTAAAATAATAGACTAAAATTGTATGAAATAATAAAATATCTCTTCCCATTTACAAATGCTATTGTAAATAGCATTTGTAAACTATCTTTTCTTTTTCTTCAGCTGAAACTAAAGAAAATAAGGTGTCAGGAAGACTATCCAGTTTTTGAATGCTCAGCTCCATTCAGTCACCCCAACTCAACTCAAATTAAGGAACTATAGGATTGTAAAAAGGAAAAGGAAACCTAAGGAAATGCTATACAATCAAATCTAGTACAATGGAAAGTTATTAATCAATAGACCAAAGAAAGCAACTTCGTTGATGGTCAGAGAAGGCCATCCCTAAAGTCTCTGGGGTGACAGCATAATAAAATTTCTACCAATATCTCAGAAATAATAAATTGGCTATTTTAACTGACAATAAGGAATCAGAGGAGTTTATCCTTAGCCAATGATGCCCATAGATGGATGGAAGGCACTTAATAGTGTATTTTAATTTTCAAAAATTTAACACAACATGAAACAGGAACATGAAAAGAGAGAGAGAATATAACATTTTGTTCCCTCTCTTTACTTCCTCTAACTGCACTCTAAAATGGATAACTCTGAAGGACGGCAGTTCTTCAAGTGACTGTGTTCACAATGTTGACAGGGATTCAAGCAAAGTTCCCTGTGAAGCGGCATTTTAAATTAGTTCCCTTGCTTCTAAGAATAGATGTATTTTTATCTATATCTGCACCAAAGAACAAACTTTCGCCTTTTTCATGCTTCATCAGGAGAATGCCATGGAGAGGAGAAGAAATAAAGTTATCAGTAAATTTTAAAAAAATAAATAACAAAGCTAAATGAGGGACAAGAAAAAAGTAAGTGCCATAGAAAGCTATGAGCTATGTGGGACCATGAGAAATGCCTCAATGGACAGATTATGTTGAATTTTTGTATTGATTTGATGTACTGTATTTCCCCAAAAATAAGACCCTGCCTTATATTTTTTTGAACTCCAAAATAAGCACTTGGCCTTATTTTCAGGGCGATTTTATTATTTTGGGGCATGTGGGCTTCTCTTGCCAACTTACCTCATTTCCAGCTCTGTCTCCCTAACCCTAACCAGAAGAAATGGCAGGGACCGGCTGCACATGTGTTTAAATAATTTCAGGGAGAGCTTATTTTCAAGAGGGGCTTATTTTAGCGCATGCGCTCAAAAGCCTGATTGGGCTTATTATCAGGGGATGTCTTATTTTCAGGGATACATTATCTTAATGACAGAAAACAATTTATTGAAATAAATCAAAGATACCTCACCTGTCTACTATTAATAAGCATTAAAAATTGTCTTTCTTCAAAGAGAATTTAAGAGAATATCCTGAATTAGAAGGTTACTGTATTTCTTAAAAGGGGATGAAAATTTAGGTGCGTTTTATACACCGAATGTAATCCCACCCACTCACTGGCCCCCACCCTTTGGCCTCTGCCTTGCAGCTGTTACCTCCTTGCAAGCAAACAGCAAGGAAAACCTAATGCTAATCAAGCTATGCTGAAAACAAAAATGAAAGTAAAGCAGGCTGTTTGCTGTAAGGAGGCAAAATTGCTCAGAGGCAGAGGGAGATTTTTTTTTTCTTCTTTTCCTCACCAAAAAAGGTAGGTGCGTCTTATACTCCGGTGCATGTTATACTCTGAAAAATATGGTATATATGTCATCGGCTTTCTGGTGTACCCAGCTAATAGGAAGATTTAGAAACTGATAAAATGAATTTGATGTAGAATTGGTACAAATGATGATCATATTATTGCTAAAAACTAAAAAAAATCCTTACTAAAATGGAAACAGGACGAATAAGTAAAAGACAGTGTGATAATCTGGGTAAACTTTTAGTACAGTGTATTTCTTGAAAATGTTATCAATCTGAAGGTACATTTTTAAATCTTTCATGGACATGTAAGTAATCTAGAGAATATTGGGACCAAATATGTATTCTGATTCTGAAGATTTTAAAGGTAAATCTACAATTGAAATCAGGGCCTTTCCTTTTGGGGTTAATGAATAAACAGATTAAAAATTGTTGTGGAAATTTGTTTTTATATATAATAACAGCAGTTAGACTTGCTTTGCAAAGGTGGAAGGATTTAGAAATGCCTACATTGGACAAATGGAATTCCATTAAACTGATGGAATTGACAGAGATGGCAAAACTGACAACTTCCAAAACCGACAAATTTTAATTTTACCTGGAAAACTCTCTTTGACTTTTTGCAAGAAACTGAGAGAAATGAAACTTTGATTTTGGCATTTGATTATTAGAATTACATGGAATTATAAACATAATCTACTGTTTATTATAAACATAGTCTACTGTTAATTTTAGTTGAATATTTATCTATATCTATACCAAAGTGGGTTGGACCTTTCCCCTTCACTTTTTGCTTTACTTTTTCTTTTCTTTTCTTTTCATTTCTGCATTTATCTTGCTTTTTGTCTAATTTTTCATTTTTTTTTTTGTTTTCATTTTGTTTGCTTTTTAATTTTATTCATGTTGTTGAAACTTAATAAAACTGTAAGTATAAAAAGTAAGCATTACAAGAGGACTAGAAGATCTATGTTGTTTTTATTTTCTAGTAGACTGTAATGTGCCTGTAAGCAAAATCTGGTTCAAGAGCCATTTAGTAAGATGTACAGCACTTGGTCCTGGAGTTTGAGTACCAGAATTGAACTGAGCTCACCGACTTTTCATACAACAATTTGCACTAATGAAATTGTGGAAGCTACCTTCATTTCACAAGTAATTAAGAATGGAAGGAAAGCTATTTTGTCAGTGCTGCTGTTAATTAAATTAAAGTCAGAAACTTTTCTTTTGATCACTTTTGCATTTAAAGATGAGGGAATGAATCATGATGGGATGGAGAGAATAAGAAATAAACATTGCTAAAACAAAAGAAATAAATAAAAAAGCTAAATGATGGACAATAAAAAAAGACTTAAAATAAAGAAATACAATATAGGGTAAAACAAATGACTAATGTGCTATACTTAAAATCTGATCTGAGCACATTAACAATATAGACATTATTTGTTAAATTCCACAAAATGAGGCAATGGCTAAGCTTACAGAGTCATGATTTCTAGCTCAGCAGTACCATCTAAATGCTAAAATATACCAAGCAAGAGATATTGGTTTTAGTCCTCTATGTAGCGTGATACAGAAACTACTTTTTGACTGGCAGAATTATTCTACGCTGGCAAAGTTGAACTGAACTGTAAGCCACTTTTCATTGCTAAGTATGACCTCTAGACTCATTAAGATATGTTTTCCCATATTGCTTAGCTTTGTGTGTATGTGTGTGTGTGTGTGTGTGTTTCTCTCTCTCTGTGTGTGTGTGTGTGTTTCTGTGTGTGTCTATTTGTTACATCCACATGAATCAATATTCAGTAATTGTTTTATTGATGTGCTATACTGGATATTTACAAAGGGTGTGAACAACTGCACACACAAGTTTGGGCAGCACCCAAGTACAATATTTGTCTTCACTGTCTCATTTAAGACTACTCACAATAGCCTAATCTAAAAGCTCTTGGTCAAAAAAACTCTGTGCGCTAATCAATCATTTTATCTAGGTAACAAAGCATTAGCAGAATCAACCAGGATGCATACTCACACGAACAAGAGAGACCCTGTTTGCCTAATCCTACGAGCATATTCAAACAGAGATTACAGTAGGCAGGCTTGTTGAAGTGTTTTAGTCTCCATACATGCTGCCCATCATCCTTCACATTCTGCAGAACACATAAAAAGAAATGGATTTCATTTAATGGCATAAAAAGAAAAACCTTTAAGTGCCAATAAAAATTGAAATTGACTCAAGAACATAAAAGACAATCTGGTTCTTCATTTATTAATTTTCAAGTGATTACAACATAATTTTTCCAAAGAGACATGTAGAGATATGGTAGCAAAACGGAAGACAGGGAGCGTTGGTAGTGGAGCTGAAAACTCTAAAACTTTTTAACATAAATTATTAATAAAATGATTTTCCCAGGTAACATGCATACCAGCATACTCTAAAGGATAGGCTATAAATGCTTACGGCTTATTCTGCTACAGCTACAAATTCAAGGGTCCCTTGATGCATAGGGCTTTTTGAAAAAATATTATTTTAGTATTGGTTTTTATCTTTATCACAGGTTGTGAATGAATAATGATAAAGGTTTAATGAAAATGTCAGCATTCCAGAATAACCCAACTCCAATTAAAAACTCAGAGATAAGCTTCATCTCAAAATCTTCATTTATTGGAATAGGTATACTGGCACATCTGGGAAAACTCGAATCTGAGAATTCAGGGTTTTCCCTCAATAAAGCAAAACCCCATATCCAGCCCCTGCACCCATCAGTCCATTACATGGCCTAATCACCATCTGTCCCAACTTGGGACACCACTGCAACTACTCCTCCTCCAGATGCAGGAGCACCATGATGGTGACTGAAAAGAAGAATGCTATTATGTCTAACAAAAATTGCTCTAACAAATTCCCCCTCCTACTTTCCCAAGCGCAAGACAGTGGCAGCGTGGAAGCTTCCGTGGTTAATATGGCTTCCAAAGCTGACAGAAAACATCCTAATTAAAATTGTGACATCTTTACTTAGGTAAAACTAAGTACAATAAACAAAAGGTCAAGAAGACAAGGCTTTCATAATGAAATATTTGTCTATTAAATAGAACTTGAATTAATGGAGGACTGTGCAACTAGTAAATTGCTGCTATTTATTCAAAAGAATGGCCACTATACATGAACAGAACATAAGGACCAATCTAGTTGACATAAAATACAATATATTCATTTAGAAGATAGCATATTATACTTTCAAAGTATTAATCAAAGGACAATGGTCTCTTGAAACTGCTTATGGGGACTTTCAATCAGTTCTTTAAGAAAAAAAACCTTGTGTTTTTACATATGTTCTGGAATTCAAAATAATAAATATAATAAAATGCAATCTTTAAGCCTAGCATGTGTTATCCCAGTTCAATGTGGGTCTTGACTACATATAGATTTTCTTTACATATTCTCCTCAGTAAAATTTTAAAATCATTTGCTCTTATCATTATTAAAGTCAAATGCTTTAGAGAAATAGAATGTTCCATAGCTAAAAGAAAATGGAAGTGCTTTTGCTTCACTATATTTAGTTATGTTGAAATAAAAGAAACAATGCAATTGTTCATGAAATTAGACTTAGAATGAAGGTTAATATCAGCAACATATAATAATGACTAATTTTGGAAAATCAATGAGTCCTACCAAAATATGGAACTTGACATTTTATAGATGACACTAGCTTTATCAAATCTAGGCTTTAATTTTACAAAGTAGAAAAAATATGCTATTTATGTTAAAAAATGGATTCAATAGTTCCTTATTAATTTTTAAATGTTTTACATTATAAAAACAAGAATATGAAGGAATATGTTAATTACAGGTTTCATTCCTAAATCTATCTGTAACTCAAATTTATATATAAATCAGAACTAGTATTTTTTACTATTACTAAAAATGGCAGACAACATTTTACTTCCTTGAGTCAATGAACCTCTGAAACTATGAAATGTTTTCAAGAACTGCTGAAAACCATTAAAATCAGGATGTATATTAAAAATGCACAGCTTCAGTAGTTCATGAAAACCTAGAACTACACTACCTACGGTCTGACTTAAGCTTAGTACACAAAATTGTCTGCTACAATGTCCTATGTGTCAATGACTACTTCAGCTTCAACTGCAATAATACACAGGCAACAATAGATACAAACGCAATGTAAACCACTCCAAACTCAATTGCAGAAAACACAACTTCAGCAACAGAGTGGTCAATGCCTGGAATGCACTACCTGACTCTGTTGTTACATCCTCAAATCTCCAAAACTTTAACCTTAAACTGTCTACCGTGGACGTCATCCATTCCTAAAAGGTCTGTAGGGGGTGTGCATAAACGCACCAGCGTGCCTACCGTCCCTGTCCTACTGTTCCCATTTATTCATACTCATTTAATATGTATATACTTATACCTGTTTATACTTATATGTTTTTATGTTATGGTCATACCTATACTTGTTTTCTCATACATGCTTGACAAACTAAATAAATAAAAATAAATGAAAATATTGCCCAGCTTTAGTCACTTTTTACTCAAGGAAGGGGAATACCAGACACCATTTTCAGAAGTTTACAGCCCTTTGGGTTGCCATAAATTGGATATTCTTAACCCAGAACTGTATTCTGCCAAATGCCAATGCTATAATATGCATTTTTATAACTGTCTCATATTATAAAAACATATGTAGTTCCTTATGGATGGTAATATTTTTACTTGTTAGTTGTTAAGCTTACTGGAAATATGCTTGAGCCAAACTACTGCACTAAAACATTTAACTCATAGTCAATTGACATGGATTTGAGAACATTTATGGTAGTAAAAATGTTTCGTGCCTCAAAAATATAAAGCCTTGATCATGCAATAAGTTATTTCCATATCTGAGTGTTCAATCTCTGGATACATTTGGACACTGGGACATTATATACTGAAGTTAATGGTTGAGTTATGTTTTCCTTTTTCAACTTAAAGGAATAGTTAAGACTGTTTATACAACTTCTTCACTTGACTCAATGGAAACTCTGCAAAGTGCATTCAGAGAAATATAATGAACTCTCATTTTAATTTAATATACTTTATTTGATTTGGTATGGCTGCCCATTCCAATAGGCTCTGAGTGGCTCACAAAATCCAAAACAATTAAAGCAGTTAAGATCCACGTACACAACTTGGTAATTTTTGTTACAAAGTACAAAGTTTTTTTAAATTTTGAAAAGAAGATAAATAATAGCAGGATCTTCTTTACTTTCTCAAAGAGATGAACAGGCTCAACCTGAGGACAGAATTAAACATGTCATCAGTTTGGAGTCATTGTGTTTCCACAAGAAATCCAAGTTCAGCTTCTGTGAATTCCATTGGCCCTTATCTATCAATTTTGCTTGATAGTTGCAGATCAAATTCTTGTGTAGGTATCATATAATAAACTTTTAGTGCTCGGAACAACTCCTTTTCCTGTTACTTGAAGCTAACATTTGCTTTTATTTATTTTGTTAAGTTATAAATAGTTAGGATGTTGTGCAGATTCTAATAGGTGTTCTGGAACATCTGATAGTGCTCCCATGCACATAAACTTGGGGATATTTATATCAATGGGACTCACGTGTTTGTATGTATCTCTTTGTTGTGTGCGTCTATGCGTGTGCATAAAATACTGTTTCAATTCTGTAAACAAAAATCATATCATATGAAAATTGCTAAGCAAGGCTTTCCTCTTCGTTTTACTATCATGCCTTACATTTAGTATTATTGTGTATTTCAAATAAAAATGAAGAAACATTATTTTTATTACATCTTCATCTAATAGTTTCTGAAAATTCTCTAAAAGAATTGCAAATGCTCCCTCCTGTGGAAAACCTAAATAATAGCAATGAAGCAATATGTTCTGATTAAGCAATTTTTGGCTATTATAGTTCAAAAAGAGAGTTTGGCAATTAGCTTTCATCCGCTATTAATTTTCACTTTTTTATGGATGTTTCCTATTTTCCAAAAAATAATTTTTGGGGAAGGATACTGGAAAGAACACGGCTGAGAAAATTTTGTGAATAAAGGAAGTTGTAATAAATGTCTTATCTGGACATACTCTGAGACTGGAACAAGAAAGGGAAAAAATTATGGTTCTTCACACTTTTAGAATATCTCTGGATAATCTTCATCACAGAATTATTCACTTTCAAATTTGAATAAAAAACACATACTGCTCACATTTTCCAATACTAAACAAGCAGTATTCACAATATTTGTTGTTGTTAGTTGCAAAGTTGTGTCCTACCCATCGCGACCCCATGGACAATGTTCCTCCAGGACTTCCTGTCCTCTACCATCCCCCGGAGTCCATTTAATCTCATGCTGACTGTTTCAGTGACTCCATCCAGCCACCTCATTTTCTGTCGTCCCCTTCTTCTTTTGCCCTCAATCGTTCCCAGCATTAGGCTCTTCTCCAGTGAGTCTTTCCTTCTCATTAGGTGGCCAAAGTATTTGAGTTTCATCTTCAGGATCTGGCTTTCTAAAGAATAGTCAGGGTTGATCTCCTCTAGGACTGACCGGTGTGATCACCTTGCCAAGGGACTCTCAGGAGTCTTCTCCAGTACCATAGTTCAAAGACATTAATTTTTTGGCGCTCAGCCTTCCTTATGGCCCAACTTTCACAGCCATACATTGCAACTGGGAAAACCATAGCCTTGACTATACGCACTTTTGTTGGCAGTGTGATGTCTCTGCTTTTTAGTATGCTGTCTAGATATGCCATAGCTTTCCTCCCCAGGAGCATTTCTTGGCTGCAGTCCCCATCTGCGGTGATCTTGGAGCCCAGGAAAATAAAATCTATCACTACCTCCATTTCTTCCCCATCTATTTGCCAGGAATTGAGAGGGCCGGATGCCATGATCTTAGTTTTCTTAATGTTGAGTTTCAAGCCAACTTTTGCATTTTCCTCCTTCATCTGCATCTCTGAGGTTGTTGAACTGACAATCTTAATTCCAATTTGTGATTTATTTAGACCTGCCTTTCTCATGATGTACTCTGCATATAAGTTAAATAGGAAGGGCGACAGTATACAGCCTTGCTGAACTCCTTTGTCAATTTTGAACCAATCAGTGGTTCCATGTCCAGTTCTCACTGTTGCTTCTTGAC